TGTCCCCATGTCCCCAAGGCCACCACCTGGTTGTCTCCATCCTCAACCCATCATGTCCCCATCGCCAACCACACTTCGTTGTCCCCATGTCCCCAAAGCCACCCTCCTGTTGTTCCCGTCCCCAACCACACTTGTCCCCAGTGCCACCACCCCATTGTCTCCATCCCAACCACACCTTGTCCCCACGTCCAACCCCACGTCCCCATGTCCTCAAGGCCACCACCCCATTGTCCCACCCCCACATTGTCCCCATGTCCCCACTGCCCCCATTGTCCCCGTTGTCCCCATTGTCCCCATGTCCCCACTGTCCCCATTGTCCCCATGTCCCCATTGTCCCCAATGTCCCCATTGTCCCCATTGTCCCCCCAGCTGGAGAAGTACCAACAGGGCGACTTCGGCTACTGCCCCCGCGTCTACTGCGAGAACCAGCCCATGCTGCCCATCGGTGCGGCCCGGACGCCGGGGCCCCTTGGGGGGGAGGGGGGCACCCGGACGCCGGGGCCCCATGTCCCTAACACGGGTGTCCCCGGACACCGGGGCCCCTCTCACCCGGACGCCGGGGCCCCTTGTCCCTAACACGGGTGTCCCCGGACGCCTGGGCCCCTCTCACCCGGACGCCTGGGCCCATTGTCCCCCGGACGCTGGGGCCCCTTATCCCTAACACAGGTATCCCCAGATGCCGGGGCCCCTCCTCACCCGGACGCCGGGGCCCCTTGTCCCTAACACGGGTATCCCCGGACGCCTGGGCCCCTCCTCACCCGGACGCCGGGGCCCCTTGTCCCTAACACGGGTGTCCCCGGACGCCAGGGCCCCTCTCCCCCGGACGCCTGGGCCCATTGTCCCCCAGACACTTGGGCCCCTCTCACCCGGACGCCGGGGCCCCCTATCCCTAACATGGGTATCCCCGGACGCCGGGGCCCACTGTCCCCCGGACGCCGGGGCCCCTCCTCACCCGGACACCGGGGCCCATTGTCCCCCGGACACCTGGGTCCCGCTCTCCCGGACGCCAGGGCCCCTCCTCACCCGGACACCGGGGCCCATTGTTCCCTGGACGCCTGGGCCCCTATTGCCCGGACACCTGGGCCCCTCTGCCCCGGACGCCCGGGCCCCCTATCCCTAACACGGGTATCCCCGGACGCCGGGGCCCCTCTCCCCCGGACACCGGGGCCCCTCCTCCCCCGGACGCCGGGGCCCCTCCTCACCTGGACGCCGGGGCCCATTGTCCCCCGGACGCCGGGGCCCCTCCTCACCCGGACGCCGGGGCCCCTCCTCACCCGGACGCCGGGGCCCCTCTCACCTGGACACCTGGGCCCATTGTCCCCCGGACGCCGGGGCCCCTCTCTCACCCGGATGCCGGGGCCCGCTCCCCCGGACACTGGGGCCCCGTATCCCTAACACGGGTATCCCCGGACGCCGGGGCCCATTGTCTCCCGGACGCCGGGGCCCCTCTCCCCCGGACGCCTGGGCCCATTGTCCCCCGGACGCCGGGGCCCCTCCTCACCCGGACACCGGGGCCCATTGTCCCCCGGACGCTGGGGCCCCTCCTCCCCCGGACACCTGGGCCCCTCTCACCCGGCCGCCTGGGCCCACTGTCCCCCAGACACCTGGGTCCCGCTCCCCCGGACACCGGGGCCCCCTATCCCTAACACGGGTATCCCCGGACGCCGGGGCCCCTCTCCCCCGGACGCCGGGGCCCCTCTCCCCGCAGGCCTCTCGGACATCCCGGGCGAGGCCATGGTGAAGCTCTACTGCCCCAAGTGCATGGACGTCTACACGCCCAAGTCCTCGCGCCACCACCACACGGACGGCGCCTACTTCGGCACCGGCTTCCCTCACATGCTCTTCATGGTGCACCCCGAGTACCGGCCCAAGCGCCCCGCCAACCAGTTCGTGCCCCGGTGAGTCGCGCGCGGCCGCCCTGGAGCCTAACGGTGGGCTGGGTTCAACCGGGAGCCTAACGGTGGGCTGGGTTCAACCGGGAGCCTAATGAAGGTTCTGGAGCCCATTGGTGCCATTGGGTTCACTCTGGAGCCTAACGGTGGGTTGGGTTCAACCGGGAGCCTAACGGTGGGCTGGGTTCAACCGGGAGCCTAACAGTGGGCTGGGTTCACTCTGGAGCCTAATGATGGACTGGGTTCACTCTGGAGCCTAATGGTGGTTCTGGAGCCCATTGGTGCCCTTGGGTTCACCCGGGAGCCTAATGGTGGCTCTGGAGCCTAACGGTGGGCTGGGTTCACTCTGGAGCCTAATGATGGCTCTGGAGCCCATTGGTGCCATTGGGTTCACTCTGGAGCCTAATGGTGGGCTGGGTTCAACCGGGAGCCTAACGGTGGCTCTGGAGCCCATTGGTGCCATTGGGTTCATCCTGGACCCTAATGGTGGCTCTGGAGCCTAATGATGGGCTGGGTTCACTCTGGAGCCTAATGATGGGCTGGGTTCACTCTGGAGCCTAAGGGTGCCATTGGGTTCACCCTGGAGCCTAACGATGGGGTGGGTTCACTCTGGAACCTACTGATGGGCTGGGTTCAACTGGGACCCTAATGAAGGTTCTGGAGCCCATTGGTGCCCTTGGGTTCACCCTGGAGCCTAATGGTGGTTCTGGAGCCTAATGATGGGCTGGGTTCACCCTGGAGCCTAATGATGGCTCTGGAGCCTAAGGGTGCCCTTGGGTTCACCCTGGAGCCTAATGATGGTTCTGGAGCCTAAGGGTGCCATTGGGTTCACCCTGGAGCCTAACGGTGGGCTGGGTTCAACTGGGAGCCTAACAGTGGGCTGGGTTCACTCTGGAGCCTAATGATGGGCTGGGTTCACCCTGGAGCCTAACGATGGGCTGGGGTCACCCTGGAGCCTAACGATGGCTCTGGAGCCCATTGGTGCCATTGGGGTCACTCTGGAGCCTAACGATGGGCTGGGTTCAACCGGGAGCCTAACGGTGGGCTGGGTTCACCCTGGAGCCTACTGAGGGCTCGGGAACCTATTGAAGGGTTGGGTTCACTCTGGAGCCTAAGGGTGCCATTGGGTTCACCCTGGAGCCTAATGGTGGTTCTGGAGGCCAATGATGGTGGGTGGGGGGGTCACTCTGGAGCCTCTTGGGAGCCCGTTCACTCTGGAACCTACTGAGGGTCCCAGATCCGTGTAGAGCCTCTTGGGAGCCCGTTCACTCTGGAGCCTATTGAGGGCTCCAGGTCACTGTAGAGCCTATTGAGGGCTGTGTTCACTCTGGAGCCTATTGAGCCCCGTTCACTCTGGAACCTACTGAGGGCTCCCGGTCACTGTAGAGGCCATTGGGGCCCCATTCACTCTGGCCCCTCCTGAGGGTCCCAGGTCACTCTGGAGCCTCCTGAGGTCTCGTTCACTCTGGCCCCTACTGAGGGCTCCCGGTGTCTGTGGCCCCACTGGGGCCCCGGTCACCCTGGCCCCACTGCTGCCCCGCTCACCGCGGCGCCCGCGGCGCCCGCAGGCTCTACGGCTTCAAGATCCACCCCATGGCGTACCAGCTGCAGCTGCAGGCCGCCAGCAACTTCAAGAGCCCCGTGAAGACGATCCGCTGAGCCGGACGCCGGGGCCCCCGCGGCGCCGCGCCCCGCAGCGGCGCGCAAGGAACACCCCTGGGGCAAAGGAGCCGCCTCGGGGGTTCTGTGCGCGGAGGGGGCGGGAGGGGCGTTCCGAAATGGATTCGTTGGGTTCGGGGAAATTTCAAAAAAAAATTTAAAGAGCTGTCTTAAAATGTTTGAAGATTCGTTTTGAGGGTTTGGAATGAGTTTTTAAATTGTTTTGTGTTTTTCACGCTCGTTGTTTCAAAAATTGGGAATTTTGAGAATTGGAAATTTCGAAATTGGAAATTTTGAGAATTGGAAATTTCGAAATTGAAATTTTGGAAATTGAAAATTTTGAAATCGGAATGTTTGAAATGGAAATTTCTGAAATTGGAATTTTTAAAATTGGAAATTTTGAAAATTGAAAATTTCGAAATTGAATTTTTTAAAATTGAAAATTCTGAAGTTAGAATGTTTAAAATGGAAAATTCTGAAATTGAAGTTTTTAAAATTGAAACTTTTGAAATCGGAATGTTTGAAATGGAAATTTCTGAAATTGAAATTTTTAAAATTGAAAATTTTGAAATTGGAATGTTTAAAATCGAAATTTTTGAAATTGAAATTTTTAAAATTGAAAGTTTTTAAATTAATTTTTAAGATCGGAGATTCTGAAACTAAAATTTTCAAACTTGGAAATTTTGAACTTGAAAATTTCAAACTTGAAAATTTTGAAATTGAAAATTTTGAAACTTGAAGTTGAAAAATGATTTTTAGGTTTGAACATTTAAAAACCCGGGGAAAAGAGCCGATTTGGTAGCTTTTGTGCCCAAAAGTGGGTGGGTGGGGTCA